TTTTAAACCTATATGATTTGTATGATGATAAAAAAATTTTTTTATTAAATAATTAGGATCATTAAGATTTTATACTTTGTGACTTAATTTTATTTCTGCAAAAAACATAATATACAACTTGTTCTGTATTTAATATTTCTTATTTCATATTTAATATATTTGTATTTATGTATTTTGTTGTATTGTTTAAACACACACACACACAGAGTTATATAATGCATGCATGCATTTTGATCACAACAGGATCACACCATTTTTTTTACGCTAGATCAATAATTTTGATGAATCTCTGCATGTAATTGAAAGTGTTACATCAAGTATGAATATGTAGAAGTGCAGATGAGATTTTGCGCACACAAAGATATTTTTCCAATATTTTGAAAGTAATTAGGACTATTTTTGTGGTCTGTTCTTCCACAGAATAAAGGAAATCACATGAGTTTGAAATGACAGAATGTTTATGTGGACTATGCCTTTAAACGTGAGGCACTGATAATGAATGCATGCTCATGCACGTGGCATAGATGACATGTTGTCACTGAGGGTCTGGTTTTGTCTCAGGGGTCCTCTGAACTGGTACCGTAACGGGGAGAGGAACTGGCGTTGGATGTGTTCCAGGCCGAGGGGCAAGGCAAGTGTCCTCACTGCGCTCCCGCTCTCTGACACCGTCACTGTCAGAAATACCCAAGTGTCACTTATTCCAGCAATTCCACACCACATCTAGCACAGTCCTGCAGCCTGAGCGGAGCAGATGGTCAGGTGCCTGTTACCTGCCTGCCCCAACATCTGCTCCTCCATGATGAGCTGAAGTGCTTTAGCTCTGGCTGCATCACTCATAAATGTGTCTTTATATGAAATGGAAATCAATAACCGGTTCTTCTTTCAAATCAGTTGCACTTTTAAAAAATACTGATGCAGATTAATTGATTGATGCTGTTAAATGTTGTTTCATGCTGCAAATGCAATCAAGCCTGATACTAAAATATCACTTCTGACATTATTTTCAAAAATCTAATATGTTATATACCTTATCTTGTTCCATTTTTAGTCAGTTCCTTACGACTGTCAAAACTGATTTGATTGGTTGAAATGTACATGACAGTGCATCTGCCGTCACAGATCATGATGCCAGCTTTAATGGTGACCGCAGGAAAGGACCCTGTTCTTCTGCCAGCCTTTGCCACAGGCATGGAGAGCCTGGTGAGACTGCAACTTTGTTATTCTTCCATTATGTTAATGCTGCATTCACCTCATGTTATAATTACCATAATAACGACTTGGAGATTTTTACTCTGAGTTGTTCACGTCCTCGGACTCACAGATGTATGGAAGCTTATTTACAGTGCGGAATAAAAAATAAAAAAATATTCACACAGATTAACGTCAAGGAGTTAACGTCAGAATTCTCGCAATTCTGAGAAGACATTTTCAGAAAAGTCAGATTTGTGAGATATGAACTTTTTTTCTTACAACTCCAAGTTGTCTCGCAATTCTGACTTTTTTCTCGGAATTGTAAGCTAAACTTTTCTTAGAGGTATAAACTCGGAATTGTGATGTTAACTCAATTCTGAGAAGAAGAGTTAGTATTGTGAGATATAAACTCGCAATTGTAAGTCTTGAGTAGGTGCGGTTATGTTTTTGCGAATTTATATTTCGCAGTTCTGATAAAATAGTCTGAATTGCAAGTCAGTTTATTTATTCTTGCAATTCTGCCTTTTTCTCGGAATTGCAAGAGATTTTTTCTCAGAGATATAAACTTGCAATTCTGAGAAGAATAGTGAGAATTGTGAGATATATATATCAACGATTGAGAGGAAAAAAAGTCAGAATTGTGAGAGAAAAGTCACAATTACCTTTTTTTGTGAGTTTAGAAAGTCAGAATTGTAAGATATAAACTTGGAATTGTGAGAATAAAAATCAGAATTCTGAATTAAGCATCCTTACAAATTATTAGTGTCTATGGCGAGTTTAAAATTGTGAGTTTAACATACTGTAGACGTAAATTACAGTTATTCCGATACTTTACATAAACACAGTACGAGATTGCATGTGTAATGTCGTACTATAGCATTGTCCATGCAAGCTGACCTGATGTAAGCTGGTCTTGTATGTTTCTGTCTGAAGGTCCCCAACCTCACCAGAGGCCACATTGAGGAGTGTGGACACTGGACTCAGATGGAGAGGTAAGATTCACTGGAAACTGATGTTTGTGCGAATGTTTTTCCACCAAAACGATAATGCCACTTTGTGAAGGATGATATCACTGAGGAACTGGCACTTTTACAAAAGACTTTGGAAAGTGAAATTAAGAATACAGGGAAACAATATGAATTGATCACCAGTGAAATAATATTGTATATATAATAAAGAGTTTTACTTGAAATATTTTATTTTAAGAAAATGTGCATCTTAATAAAATGCCATTTTTAGAGTTTATTAAAAAAAATATCACATCTTAAACCAAAATAGTGAAATTATTTAATATTCACCCCTATGTTTACTTAATTATGATATTGTGAAAAAACTAATATGATTTGCATCTTTATAAATTGACTTTATTTTATCCAACATTGTATATATGATGGGGACATGAAAATGTACTGCATAACAAGAATGATTCATTATATTGACATTAAACTTAATCAAAAACTCGTATAGTGACAATTTACATGTCTGAATGGCTTTAAAATTACATGGTGTGTTGCTTAAATGTCGGCAAGGTATCAGGAATACTTGGTTTCCAGGAAATTGGATTGCAAAAAATAATTGACGGACTGTCTGACCTTTAGTACTTTAGTTGACTGTTGTTATATTGGGAGTGTAATAATTGATAGAATAAAATAGGTTAATACGATGTCAGGTTAGGTTAGGTGGATTAAATGCTCATAGATTGTGTAAGATTCAGCCTACAATGCAGGGTTTTTGACTCTTATATTTTCTAAAACATGTGCATCCTCCTTCTTCCCATCATTTCTTGTCCCTTTTCTCAGATCAAATGCTAGACTTATTTCAGTAGTAAATAATTTGAGTCATATTACTTTAGCAGCACATACCAGGTTATTCTCATGAAAACTCTCAACAATATTTTTAGGTTATGTTTCATCCCAAATATAATATTTTTGCATAGAGAATAGATTTTATGCTTTGAGAGTTATTATAGTTAAGTAAATAATTAAAGGGGTCATATGACGTTGCTAAAAAGAACATTTATTTGGTGTGTTTGGTGTAATGAATGTGTTTATGCGGTTTAAGGTTTAAAAAAACACATTATTTTCCACATTATGTACATTATTGTTTCTCCTCTATGCCCCGCCTTTCTGAAACGCGTCGATTTTTACAAAGCTCATCGGTCTGAAAAGCGAGGTGTGCTGTGATTGGCCAGCTATCCAGTGCGTTGTGATTACATCATATAACCCCTTTAAATAAAATAATTAAAAAAAATTATTGAACCATAAAAAAGGAAATCATAAAAAGCTTGCTTTACTGGAATTAAAATAAACTTTAACTGAAATTATATATATATAATTGTGGTATTTATCTAACCCTAACCCAAATATATTTGAGGTCTGAGATGTGAAAACAATGAAGAGAGAGAGGGCAAATATTTTGCATTTTAGGTCAGCGTTGCCATCTAATCAGCCAATATTGTCTCAAATAGCCTGCATAGCACTTATACCAAATATATTCAATCTTGATTTTATATATATATATATATATATATATATATACATACAGCATTTTATTCAGCTTGATATACTAAAATAACTGAAAATATATAATTTTTTTAATACTTTTTAAAAAGAATATATTATTTACATATTTACACATATTTAGAAAACAATTAAACAAAACTGACAAAAATGACAAACACACTCAGTAAAATTACTAAAACTTATAAAAACTCATGATAACAAAATATAAAAATATTCATAAAAATATAAAAAAATATAATAGCATCTCAGTGGTACCAAAAACTGTGACATTTAAAAAGAAACACCATGATGCAAAAATAGGCTTAATTTTCCTTGAACAGGAAACATAATATAATATATATCCAAAATATATTTATTGTATACGTATGTATGTATGTATTTATTTATTTTTCTTTCTTTTGCCATATATACCCTTTTTATTTGGATGAAAGACATTGACCCAGACATGTTAAAATCTTTGAAATGTAGCAGAAAATTGCATCATGTTGAAAGCATGTTCAGGATGCTTGTGTCGAAACAGTCAACTCAACAGACTATTATTTCCCGACTGACTATTGTTCATTGTCATTTATAAGCCTTTTAGAGCAGCAGCACGTTACCATTCAGCATTTCTTACAGAGAGGAGCGTCTACCATCAGGACCGGTGTGAGCATTCAGTTTTAAATGAAGGATTGCTCAGATCCAGGGTTTCCATCATTGAACGGGGGCAGGGCGGTGAATGTGCAACACCATCACCGTGGTCAAGCAGCCAATCACATAAATAACAGTAACGTGACACTGATGGAAAGATCCAGCTCACCTCAAGGTCAAACCACCATACAGAGAAAAACATCCCTCTTATATGTCATTTAAAAAATACAAACCCAAAAACACTACAACTCCCATCTGATAAAGCAGGAGGAATCTCACATAATCTGCTCAAGAAGGCATCCAGGTCACATTTCACCCAGTAATCAACAGAAAGAAATTAGGTTGCATATTATACTGTAGGCTTACATAATAAGATCCTTTCCTTCAGAAGAGATAGTTTAGCATTTAGTTTTTAAATATTTGTCCCGTTTCCAATGCTTTTCCAGGAACTGTAGTCGTTAAAAGTAGGGTTGTGACGGTGAGGACATTTTCCCACCGGTTAATCGACGTGTGACAACACCGGTAATACCGGTATCACCGCGGGGGCGGGGCATTCCCTCTTTTCCTCGCTTTCCTTTGCTTTTAAATAGCTTGTAAAAGCTGCGTGCGCATTTTACTTTCACTTTCGAATTAGCGGCAGTTCAGTGTCAATTGCTTGAATGCAACAACAAAATACAACGTCAAACTCACTTTAGCCTATATATAAAACATAGAACTTTTATTAACAAAACAAATACAAATACACCATGCTATAGGGCAGGCTATGCCTAATATAAAATAACAAATAACTTACATAAAGTTTAAATAGGTATACAAAACTGGAAATAGGCCAAGTAAACATGTATAATATATAACCAAATAAATAAGAAACGTAGAACGTTTATTAGCAAAACGAGTAAGAAAGCTTGGAGGCACGGCATACACCTCGATGTAAATTTTTTTTTATAAATGACACAAAGTTTAAATAAAGTAAAAATCAGCAAACAATGTGGAACCAATTAAATGAGAAACAAATGTTTTTAAAAAACTTCCAAAATCACCTTAGATAAATGGCAAAAGTCAACAGGCTTTTCAAAATCCAAAATATTGCCAAACAGGCGCTTTTGCATCTCGTTTCGAAACTAAATCATCCGCGATCTTATTGTCTGTCTCTCCTCACTCTTCTTGTCAGTCAGCTGGACTCACTCTCCTCACTGGAGAAATGAAATCTGATCTGTGATGCGACTGTCGTTCGGCACGCTGCATTGAGCAGCCGTGTTCAGTTTTTAATTGTAGTGTCTGTTCTTTTACTGAACTAAATTATTTTTATTACTATAAAAAATCTAAATGACGGTGGGGGTCGGTGCCGCGGTGGGCAAGTGACATAACCAGTGTTGCGGCTTAACACCGGTATCACCGTCAGCACCGTCTATCACGGCAAGCCTAGTTAACAGTGATCCACAGCCCATTTCATGTGCATATTGCAAAATGAACTCAAAACGCTTTACTAAAAATGACCCACAGTGTAGGCTGAAGGGTGAAGTGTACCTTACATGTCCTTTAAAGTGTGAAAGATGGCCTGAAACTGTTGGCAGATGCTGTCAGATAAGTCAAAAATAGAAACCAAACCTACCTGATACGTATCTCACACCACCAACGGCTCTTTCCATTCAGGTCATGGGGCATTTCAGAGCTTTATTCTGGTAAACCGGCTGTTTCAGATACAGCGATCAGATTTACTTGACATATACTTGGACATAATCTTAGAGTGTCACTGCATTGCAAAAAAAAAAAAAAAAGATTTTCTTTCTTACTCTAATTTTTTTGTCTTATTTTCCAGCACATATATCTAAAACATTTATTACATATATTTGAGAAGCAAAATCACATAAGATAGTGTCTCATTTTTAAGATTATTTTTTGCTTTGTGTATGTGTTACATATATATATACATACACACACAATAATAATAATAAAAATAATAATGTATGGATAATTAATTCAAACAAAGTCAGGGATGGTATCATTAACTAAAGCTAAATTTATTAAAAAAATTGTGAATTGAAATATAAAATAAATGTTTACTAAAATAAAATATTAAAAAATATATTTTTTATAAAAATATAAACACACACACATATATATATATTTAAAAAAATAAACTTATTTAAAAAGGAAAACCATTATTTTTCTTACCCCATTGGCAGATTTTTCTTGTTTTAAGCTTAAATTCATTTAATTTTGATAGATTTTTCAGAAAACAATATCAAATATCACTTGTCAGTGTTTCCTGAATTAGGAACATTTAGATGTTTGTGCTGGAAAACATGACGAAAATACTTCTTTAAATGATTCTCAAAGCTCATCTGTATGGCAGTGGTTTTATGGTAATGTCCTGGTGGTGTGGTTAATGTTCTCTAATTAGCAGAGCGTGATTTAACCGTCCTCTCCGCACTGACCCGAGGGCTCGATAACGCAACCCCTGCGGCAGTAAATTATTTTAACGTCTCTTGACCCGTCCACCTCCATCACCCTCTCCACCCTCCGCAGAACTTCAGCAATCAATAGATGAATGCTGACATTCTGAACCTGTCAGAAAACGCCTGGCTTCATTTCCAAAACAGGACATGAGACGTGACCCCGTGACCCCGTTCAGACAATGACACCCTGTTAAGTGAGGAAGATTTTTATAAGTCTCTGAACTTACACACGGGTCATTTGTGGTTACTACCTTTCGATAGGAAATGTGTTAACCGGGGTTTGCTAAATGTGACGAGATTTGAATAGGATTAGGTGTTTTGAAAAAATCAAACACAGCTAAGTATTAAAGTTGAGCGTGTGCCTTAGTGTCTGAGCTCCAGATATGAATGATTCCTCAAATCATGAGTCTTGCTGAGGTGCTTTACTAACCATGTAAAGCCTAACATACGCAACAATTGTCCAAAAAATCTTTTTTTTAAAAACAGTTTATTGAACTTTTAGTCAAAATCCAAAAAAGGTTTGCATATCTATATTTATTGAGTATTGTACTTGATGAATCAGGCTTTTATGGCTTAAGTAGTATGATATAATGAGAATATGGAGGAAAACTGTTTTATTCATATGTTCAAACTGAGAAACCATAAGCAATTTGAAGCAGATGCTGATATTTATTATGAATAGCTTCTGATAGCTTGTCATGTAAATCAATGAGTATAGCAGAAACTTAAAACATAAAATTATAGAAATATCAGCCGTCACTTTAAATCTGCAGATAATGTCTCAGTTAGATGACATTTAATTGCTTAGTTTGATGATCAAAACATATAATGCCATGCAATGATGAAAAGCCTGATGATAATATTTGATAATCACATTTGAACATGATTTTTGTATGATGATGATAATAATAATAATTATGATAGTCAACCCTAATCAGGGTTATTATTAATTAATAACATAATAATTAATGTTTAACTAAAATAAAAAACATTTTTCAGTTTCATTTACTTTAAATCAGAGTACTAAATTAACTAAAACTAAATCAATCAAAAATAAAAACTAAAACGTAACAATATAGAGATTAAAAGAGACTAATAAAAATGTCAAAACACAACAAAACGGCTAAATTCTAAATCAAAATATTAACAAAAACTAGTTTAGTACACTAATGATAGTAAAGTAACACTGAAGTTGCTTCAATCCAGTCAGTGTTCGTCTTACTGAAATATTACTAACAATATAAAAGTTATCTTATGTTTACTTTATGAATATCAGTAAAGATTTCTCAGCAAAAAGACGCATGAACCACAAGCTGAAGGTGGATGTTTTTACAATGATACTAAAAGGCCTTTTACTTGCTAAAAAAGGCATGTAGTAGATTGTGTACAAAGTTTTTCAGCAAATTGGAGGCCTTACAAATGTATCCAATATGATCCAGTAAGCTGTATAGGGTTAATGATTTGTTCAAATCTCTTAACGCTCATCATGAGCCATCGTAATAGAAAGCATCACTAATTATTTTAATGCCACAGTCGTTTGAGGTTATATCACATGATCAGATCAGTCCGATCTCTTTTTCCTCTTCTCTCTTCAGGCCTGCAGAGCTCAATGAAATCCTCATCTCCTGGCTGAAGGAAACACACCAGAAAGCCTCTATCCATGTTCATCCCAAGTTATGAGAGCATGATCTTGATTTAACTATACGCAGGCGAATGAACTAAAGTGCACTAATGTCCAGGCTTGCTGATTGCATAATAATAGTCCATTGTCATGTGAGTAGATTTCAGTAGTCCAGTGCTTTTTATATGAAGTCTTTTATAATACACTGCAATAATGAACAGACTTTTTTTACAGACAGTGTCTGTAGCTCAAATAAGCTCATATTTACATTTTGTGTGAACAGCATCTGTCACTGTTTGCACTTAGTGTAAATAGCCACTGCCTATTTTAATGTAATATTGATGAATGTCACATTTTATTATGAATTGTTTTATTAACAGCTTGCTTTGCAAAAATAAAACCAATAAATAATCCTTTGCTTTGTAATAAACTGAATCAATACTGCTTTACAAGAATCATTAATTGTATATTGTTTGCTACAAACATTGATATTTTGGCCTGAACAATTACTCTATTTTTTGAATAGTGGCATCAGCCAATAAGTTCATTTCAGAATTTAATTTTACAGAAGTGGTCATTTCTACTCACTGTCTAGAAACATAAAGCAAACCTTTATGGATTTTGTGTATTCAATTTGTTTTATTTCTCATTTAATGTTATATTCTATCATAATATTTTATTAATAATGGGTCAGTTTGAATTTCTTTAAAAACAAAAACAAATGTTCTTCCACAAAGATGCATCAAATTGATCAAAAGTGAGAGCAAAGCCATTTATGTTACAAAAGGTTTCTTTTTTCAATAAATGCTGTTCTTTTGAACTTGCTATTCTTCAAAGAATCTTGAAAAATAAAAATGCTCACAGTTTTCACAAAAATAGGAAGCAGCACAACTGTTTTCGACAGTGATAATCAGAAATGCTTCTTGAGCAGCAAATCAGCATATTAGAATGATTTCTGAAGATCATGTGACACTGAAGACTGGAGGAATGATGCTGAAAATTCAGCTTTGCATCAGAAATAAATTACATTTTAAAGAGCAGGTCATATTGTATTTTAAAGTGTCCTAATATTGTGTTGGAGTCCCCTACAACAGGTTTAAATGCATCTAAGGTCAGAAAACATTGTAATTTTCTCAGAATATACATTTAATATTAGAGTCCTTTGCCAATGATTTTGAAACGATTCGTTCCAAGCAAGTTCAGAGCAAACCCCGCCCTTCCATAAGCCTACTCTGCTCTGATTGGTCAGCTGGCCAAGCCTGCTGTGATTGGCACAGAGAGGAGTCCTTGAGCAAGTTAGCGTCGCGAGCAGTGTTGCCAACTTAGCGATTTTGTTGCTAAATTTAGCAACTTTTCAGACTACCCTAGCAACTTTTTCTTCCAAAAGCACCTAGCAACAAATTTAGCAATTTAAAAAAATGGATTTGGCAACCTTTAGCAACTTTTGATAAGTGACTCAGACAATAAAAAGGCACACATTTTCCATCCAAATTACACAAAAAGTGGAAAACACAGATGCCTAGCAGTACACACATCACGAGAATTGAGTTAGCTGCTATTTGCAATTGTTCAATTTAATAATAATAATTGAATAATTTGATAATTGAATAATTGTTCATTTATGATACACTTTGTTAGTAGCTTGTACCTGCGATTGTTGATCAGTTAGTACACTGTAAGAAAAATGGAAAATCTTTCAGGACATTATCCATCATCCATTGTAACCCTGTAACCCAAAAACACAATGCGTAATTTAAAAACCAACTGTCATTGTTTAGTTAACACTCGAAGGTGATTGGGCTCTCGGGCGAGATCCCAATTCGTCAGTCACTGACGTAACGTCTCCGTTCCCTCCTTCAGGGAACGAGGGTTACACAAGTAACCTAGACGTTTACTAGCTATTAAAAAAACTTAAATTGAAATTCAAAAATGTGTACGTTTTCAATAATTCAATGTATTTAAAAATGCTACCACTGACAAAGCACCTTTACATAAAACAATAATATAGTGCTCCAATCCGTTCTTAAAATAATGACATAAAATACAAAAACACTTATGCAAGCGAATCGTGCCCACAGCTAAAGTTTAGCTGCTAAACTGTGAACACTTAAAACAATAATGGTGGATACGTTAGCCGAGTGCTAACGTGACTAACTGATGAAATGATGTTGTAAACCAAAATATGTCTACTGTAATGTTTGAAGAATGACAGACAAAAGACGCTCTGTCTTAACTTTTAATCAGAACACAGAACAGCTGTATCACAGGCGCAGCAGTCTAACTAACTCGCTCATATCTCCCGCATTATCCCTAGAACTGCCGGTGCAGCAAAATAAACGGCAATTTCACAATTATTATAAAGTCTGTGCGCTACACTACATTCTTTATTATTAAACGAAGTAATTATTTGAACAACGTCAGTCTACATTAATCGACACATTCTTAGGAAATAGCGGGTTCACAGCGAATTATCAGAACTATTTATTCAGTAAGACAGTAATATCGTGCTTTACCTGGAAACCTAAAGCTGTACTAGGTGTACATCACATATTAGCAAAAAAACTTGATATTTTGAGCTCTCAATTGAAAATGTACACATAACGTATCAATCGTACTTACAGGCTGTGCTTCGGAGAGCTTGTTAGTCCAAATAAAGAAGATTAGAAGCCGACGAAGATAAAAGCCAAGATTAGAGAAGCAGTCCTCGGTAAAATGATGAGCACACAACAAAAGGTTTGAATTGTATTTCTGTGTTATCCTTGAACACAGCATCTTCTCGACATGATGTAAACACACTAACTAGCGGAAAGAGTTTGTGGGCAGGTCAGACTCGCGGGCAGGCGGGGATTATGCAAATGTGTTACCCAGTGACGTATACCGGTAACAGGCAAAAGATTCGAAAACATGACGACTCGTTAAGGCGATTCAGAATCGACTCTCTCTTTTGAGAGACAATATCTTTATTTATTGTGCAGCTTTGCAGACTGTTTTCATTTAAGGATAGCTACGTTATAAGCTGCAAAAGAGATATTTTTCAAAAACCCATATGACCTGCTCTTTAAAATCTATTCAAATAAAAAAACACATTTTAAATTGTAATAATATTTCACATTTGTATTATTTTCATAAATGAGAACATCAAGTAAATGCAACCTTGCTGAGCATAATTTGATCAGTAATGCTCTACCTCTTCAGTAGTCAGTAGCTGATTTCCAGCTTTAATACATCGGATTTTCATCAATAAACCCTTGAACTCTTAAAGCATCTGCTGTTAACTAGTGTGGTATTTCCCGAGGAGGAGCTGTGACTACAGTCATGGCGTCTTCTTGTCCTCAAGAACAGCAGCCGCTCTCTTTGTTAAAGCAGACTGATTGCATTGACCTGAGATTGCTGTTTTATAATGAGTGTAGAGGAAGGCAGAGCGGCGCTAGAACCGCTGCAACTGCTTCATTTCAAAAAGGAAATGATTTCACATACAAAGGGGTCATTTTCTGCAGTAACGAGCGACTCGCTGTTTTCTAAAGGGACAGTCGTGCTCCCTTCATTCTGAGTGTCAGTGTCTAAACTCTCAAGAGCACAGAGAATGTGTTTAGACATCCTTCCTGTTTGCTACGATTTGAGTTACGTTTCTGCTTTGAAAACTCACTGAAAGAGATAATTAAACTTTCTGGTTAGTGATTATGCACTTTAATTATTTACCATATTCATATTCAGCTAGGGTTTTAGGCAATTTTGGTAACGATGGAATATTTTTGAAGTTTAAATTCATTATTGGTGTGACTTGTTTTAAATACATGTACATTTTAAATATTTACATGTACAGTTCCTGTCAATATTTACAGTAACTGCTATGTCATGGGTTTGATTCCCAGAAAATGCACATGGTAAAATGTATACCTTGAATACAGGTTGCTTTGGATAAAAGCATCTACCAAATATGCTATTTTTAATACATTTGAATATGCAAGTTAACTGTCAGATGCACATTTACATGTGGTATGCATTAAATCTGCATTCATCTTGCCAAACAAAACCATTAAAATAAAGTATGGACAAACCCAGCGAATAGGTTTGTCCATATTTTACCCAGCACTGGGTTGCATTTAACCCAGCATTTTTAGAGTGTATGTTCACATTCAAAATGTAAACTATATTATCTGCAACTGATATATTAAAAGTTGCATACTGTATATAGTACATCCAACTTCATCTGCATATACAGTATACTCACGTCACGTAAAGCCATATATAATATATAGCAAATCTGAACTGCTTTATTGCTTCTATCATCACAAAATGTAAACTATATTGCTGCCCAGCTTTAATCTGCTAAATGTGACTATAAGGCATTCAGATATAAACATTATCATCACGATTTTCTGTAAAGCTGCTTTGAAATAGTGTATATTGTGAAAAGTGCTATGGAAATAAATTTGCTTTGCCTAGTTATAAAGGCACTGTGATGCTCACATATTGTTCAGAAAATTAAAAAATAAGTTCACTTTCAGAATGGCAGTTTGTTTGACAGTATCTCTTCATACTCATCAGATGAAGGATACAGACAGACAGACGCTCCATCAGTGATTCTGCTGATACTCCAGGGTCTTCTGATCACAAGGTTTATTGTGCACAAGGGACAAACTAAACCAGGTCCAAATGCTCAGTCCCACAGGTGATGCATGGAGATTGCTGGCTAGCAGCAGATTTGAGGGCCATGACAATTGATGTTTGTTAGCATTTGTCTGTGTGGTGTGAATTGGCCTTCAAAGAAATAGTTCACCCAAAAATGTAAGTTTGCTGAGAATTTACTCACAAGATGTAAATGAGTTTGTTTCCTCATTGTAACAGATTTGGAGAAATGTAGCATTCCATCACTTGCTCACCAATGGATACTCTGCAGTGAATGGGTGCCGTCAGAATGAGAGTTCAAACAGCTGATAAAAACATCACAATAATCCACAAGTAATCCACACCACTCCAGTCCATCAATTAACATCTTGCGAAATGAAAAGCTGTGTTTTTGTAAGAACCAAACCATCATTAAAGCATTTTTACATTTTAAACTGTTGCTTCTAGCCAAAATACTTCTGGAAAAAGCCCATCACCTGTTGTCCTCGCACATCAAAGTATTCCAACATATTTGTTTTGAACTGTTTTCACTTGTAAACGGTACTTGATCTGTGCATGTTTCTCTCCTGATTCAGACAAGACGACTTGAGGAGACACTAGAGAAAGCGTTATTATGGATTAAGAACTCGTATTTTGGACAGAAGTGATGGTTTAAAGTTAAAATTCTTGGTGGCTTTGTT